CCCTACTTCTCTCCCGCTCTTTCTTCCTCCTAACATAATTTGTCTTACTCTCTGTCTCCCCCATGCCTGTCACTTTCTTTCTTTTTCTGGCAGCTCTCCAGGAATCACAATGGATCTCCCTACTACAGAGATCAGTTCCCCTTAAGGTTGCCAGCTCCAGGATGGAAAATTCCTGGAGATTTGGGGATGGAGCCTTGGGAGGGTGAGGTTCAGGGAGGGAAGTGACCTCCGCACGGTATAATACTATAGACTCCACCTTCCAAAGCAGCCATTTTCTCCAGGGGAACTGATCTCTGTCATCTGGAGAGCAGCTGTAATTTTGGGTGGCCTCCAGCCCTCACCGGGACATTGGCAACCCTAGTTTCCCTGGATGAAATGGCTGCTTTGGAGGGTGGAATTTATGGCATTATACCCTTCTGAAGTCCCTCCCCTCTTCAAATCCCACCCTCCCTAGGCTCCACCCTCAAATCTCTAGGAATTTCCTAACTTGGGGTTGGCAACCCTATCTCCTTCCCACTCAACAGCCAACCTACCTTTATCTGTTCCTCTGTCTTACGCTTTCCACCCCCCAGCAGCCTCTGCCTAGGAAAACTGTGGCCTAGTTGTGCAATGCCATAGTTCTCTGCCCCATTCTCTCCTTCTCAGCCATTCACCAACCTACATTTTATCTGCCTTCCATCTTCAGCTATATTCATTATTTATTTCATTTATACCTCACGTTTCTCTACAGTAAAGACCAAAGCAGCACACATTTTTCTCCTCTGCTTCTTTTTATTCACACAACAACCCTGTGAGGTAGATTAGGCCGAAAGTATATGACCGTCCAAAATTATCCACTGAGCTTCCGCATCAAGATGGGGATTCGAACCTGAGTCTCCCAAACCCTCCTCTGAAGCTCTAACAGCTGTACCACACTGGCTTTCATAAGGTGACTGCTGTTGAATGTAGCAAGCAGTCAGGCCTAGCTGAGTCATGGAAGTCAAATGGTATCGAGTCACTCAGAGGTTGCTGCCAGGCCTTGGGTTGCCAAATTCCAGGTAGAACAACTGAACTCCAGACAACCAAGATCTGTCCACCTGGAGAAAATGGCTGCTCTGGACAGTGGACTCTGTGACATATCCAGCTGAGACCTCTCCCCACCCCAAATCCTGCCCTCCTCAGAACCCACTCCAAAATCTCCAGGAAGTTCCCAACCTGGAGATGACAACCCCAGTCAGGCTTGACCCCCAAGGTGCCCTCCCTCAACAGCCAAAATAGACCTGGAAATGGCTCTGCCTCCTCACTTTTACTAACAGAAGCAAGCTTTAGAATGCCCTGGTTGCCTAGCAACAGTCACTGAGGGAATCCATTCCTTAAAGCTACAGGTGCTCGTTTTATAATTTTTGGTTTTTTAAAACTGCCCAGTGCATTTTTTAGATTGCACATTTTTCTGCAAACCTACAGCCCTTTTCAGGCTTGTAGAAAGATTTGTCTGCTGCTCCAGTCACCAGATTTAAGTATCCAAAGATATCCTGACTTCGCTATTAGAATAAGACAAGAGTGGACCCGCAACAAAATGTTGCTTGTCTCTTCCCGCCCCCTCCCCTCCATTGCGAGCCCCGGCGGCTGCAGCTGCCGGGCCTCGCTCGTCTCTTCCCGGCTGCATGGCCGGCCGGGCCGCTGGTTCCAAAGCGGCGGTGGCGAGGACGGCAGCAGAGCATTCCCTGCGCATGCGCAGGGGACGTTCTGTAAGTTTCGGGGGGATTTAAGTATCCCCCCCGATATTTTTGTCCAGTTTTTAGATTTTTGTGCACACGTGGGGACTGGCCCACGTGTGCACAAACCTCCCCCGGCCCCCCAAGTGCGGATATAGCGATCCGCACGGAGGGGGCAACTTGGCTATTAGATATAGTGATAAACCTCTGCTTTCCCCTCTTGTTCTACCTCTTTAACCCCCGCCTCCCCTTCCCGAGTAATACACATTGCACAGAATATGCAGGGATTGGAAACACTTGCATCTTAATATGAGCATTCCAGTACCTGGTGCTATTTCTGAGTGCCTGATAGTATTGTGCCTGCTGGAATCACCCTCAATAAACCTCTCTCTGATTTTTCAGGTCTCAGTGATCAACATTCATCCATTCCTACACAGAACTTAGAATTCCTAGAGCTCCCTGGGAAAAGGGAATGACAGTCAGTCTGGAGTATAGATATGATCCAGTTCTCTCCTTGTTACCAGAGATAATTTGTTAAAATGCACATTTCTGCATATTTCTAGAGTATGCTATCATTTATTTAAAACTTGTAAGACTTGATAAAAGAACAAAGTTTGAGTCCAGTGGCACCTTTAAGACCAATAAAGTTTTATTTAAGGTATGAGCTTTCGTGTGTATACACACTTCCTCAGATACAAATTGATGCACATGAAAGCTCGTACCTTCAATAAACTTTGTTTGGACTCAAACTTTGTTCTGCGGCTTCAGACCTACAAGGCTACCCACCTGGATCTAGTTTCAAATAAGGAAGGCAGGAGCAGTTAGAAGCAGCAGAGCACCACTGTCCTCACACAGAGCACACTGTCCTCACACTAAAGCAAGGTGCAGGGGAATGAAGGCAAGGGGCCTCGTACTCACCAAGCCAGGCAAAGTAGAGTGCAATCTTCTCCCCAAAGTACCTGCGAATGTGATCCAGAGGCTGGTATTTCTTCCACTTTCTCCACTGAGCCCAAAAATGGAAAAGAATCTGCCTCTGGTTCATTTCATTGGGGGGTAGCTTTTCTGATGGCATCTTGAAAGGACCCTTTTGAGAGTGTGTGAAATATTACTTAAATCAAGTATTTCATATTAAAATATGGAAATTCTTTATTAATACATGCCTTTGTACAAAATTTCATAGTTGATCATTAACAACATTTCGATCCAGATTCAAATTATATAATTAAATATCCCATAACAGTGAAATGGGTTATCTTTCCTTGAATAAGTGTATTCTCTCATACTGTTTTTTTCCTCTCTGCATCAAGTAGAGAGCTAGATGACTGAAAAGGGAATCTGCTTGCATAAATCCAGGGAAATACCTCTGCCACACATTGAACGAGGTTCAACAGCTGTAAACTGGGGCTCTTAATGGATGCCACATCAAAGTTGTTTACCTTGTATAAATCAAATAGTAGCTTAGCTCCAAAAATGAAACACAACATTTTGAAAGGGCAGTGAGCTCTGTAAACCTTTACCTTATTCCAAAGGCAGAGAAATCAGAAGAGAAATGGAAGCCAAATATGCCTGGTATTTTAAGGCTATAAAGAGAGGGACTCTAAGAAAGCAAAAGCTTATTTAAAACGGCATTGCCTAATGGTTCTTGGCACCAACTAGCAACATAGATAGAGACTTGCTGCCCAAACATCTGGCCACATTGCACTGATTGGAATGAAGTGTCAGATCTGTGGTTCCTTGTGTAATACAGAGACCTACAAAAACCACATTGAGAGAACTTTATGCCTTCCTGGAAAGTTCTAGCGCTACTACAGAGAGGCCTATTCAGCGACAAGTACAAGCTGGGAGAGAATTCCAGCTCTATATTCTCAACAGAAGAACAGGAGCTGTTAAAACTTTTGATAGAAATTGCCTTTTCTTGATGGAATTATCTCATGTATGATCTCACTTACTAAAAAAAAGCTATCAAAATGTTTTTTACAGGTGAAACATGAACTGTATCCACACATCTTTGGTTACTGTGCTATAGCAATAACTTCTTTAGCTATAGCAATCACTTGCAATTGGATTAGTTTATCCACCCATCAATAGCCAATTGCAAAAGACTGCTATAGAACAATGTGAAATATTGTGGTGTGTGGATGGTCAAAAGCTCAATTTCAGCCTTCTGATTTTACTTTTGGGTTGTCACCTGTGTTGCGCAGAACATGTCCCAGCATCCAAACCTTAGGCTAGTTAAATGGGTATGTTCTTCTGCTAGCACTTTTCCCACCATTGTAATTCTATGGATGCGCCGATGTGCAGTTGTTGCAGGCACAACCCCTTCCCTACCTTTTCTGGTTTACACAATTTTTAGAATCTTTGGGAGGTTGATCTTACTTTTAATATTTAAATTCTCTATTACATGAATACCCAGTAGTTGCATGTATCTCTCTCTTCAGAGCCAGTAACATGCGTTTCTTTTTTGTTTTGTTCTAAGGGGCAAGCAGCTCTTCCACTCCCTGCCCCTCCCCAACAAGAGCCTCCTGTCACCATCGTTTAAACCATTATTCTGCTGCCTCTGCAGAATTCGGACTAGGGTCAGTAATGCTAAAATGGAAACTATCAACCCTGCTCCAAATAAACAAACAAAACAAGCAAACAAAACCCCTGTGTGTATAGGCCCATGATTTTGGTGCAAGTAAAAACAAAAAATGCTAGTCAGGACTCCAGGTATAGAAGGGAATGTCTCTTGGGCTCAGACAGTCCTCTCACCTCCTTTCTCTGTTGCACTTTCTTCTCAAACTGTTTCAGAGCAAAAGTGCAACCTTTAGTTTGCTGAAACAGATGACATGAGGGGAGGAAAGACTGGGAGAGTGAAGTGAGGAGGATGCAAACACAACACTTGTTCCTGTAGTGTTAAACCACAGTTCGGCATTACATGTGAACCAATTCTCTCATCACCACCCCTGAATCTCCCTTCTGTTCACCGAACTGTGGAGGGGACCACATGCTTGAAGAGTCTAATGCACATTCCTGTAATGGGAACACTGATCTAACGGATCTTGTCATAAGAAGCAGATGATTTAAAATTTGGGGGGGGGGGTATTTGTTGCTGCTTATGGCATCATGAAGTACCAGTTTTTATCCAATAGAGCAGCAGTCATGTAGGAAGCACTCTAAGTGGGGTGCACTGTACCCAATTACCTCCATTATAGGCATTCAACATTTCTAAGGTGGCTCTTGTTCCCTGCATACATAGTAAGAAATACGCAGGGGTCATTTCCTGCAGGAGCGCACAGGAGCAGAGCTCCAGCAGTAAAGAGGCCAGGGGGCGAGCACTTGCAACAAGCCCCACCCCCTGCTCCCAGCAGCCCTCATTCAGAGCAAGAAGCAGCCAGGTAAGTTGCAGAGCTCCCCCAGGCCCCCCGGTCCAATCCAAAACAGTCCAGTGGCACCTTTAAGACCAAGTTTTATTCCTCTGTGAGGACAGATCTGCACGCCCCCCCCCCAATAGCTAGCAATCCAAAACAGTCCAGTGGAGCCTGAGCAGTGGGTGTTGCCTTCGGACACACTTCCGGTGATGTCAGGGGGTGTGGCATATGCAAATAAGTTATGCTAATGAGTTATGCTAATGAGCTCCTGCACCTCTTTTTCTATGAAATGACCCCTGGAAATATGGATCCATTTTCAGGAATTAAGGAGTGTTGGTGGCATCCTGTTCAAATGTTGAAATCTCTTGGTTCCTTTTTTGATGCTAAGGTGCTCCTATCATGTGAGTAGAAGTAAATTAGGAAGAATCTACTTGCCAGCTTACATCATGCAGTGGGAACGCAGCTGTGAAGACTTCTTCATTCATCAGTCTTTCCACTCCAACATGCCCTTCCTTTGGATCACCGTATATTGTGGTGGCCAGAATCTCATACAGCTAATGGAAAGCATAAAGGGGACAAATAGGATTGTGCTTTTGTTTCTAGGGTAATCAACCAGCACCTTCCCTGTATTATTCCAAGAATGAACACTGAGGCAAGTATGCCACAGCATCCCACTGTTGTAATTCTTTGGGTGCAGCCTCACATTATGTATAATTCCATAATTTTTAGAAAATAAAAATGTAGCCCCTAGAGCTGTGATTTAAAGGGCAAGATCAGTATAGTGAGAAAGGGGAGCTTTTAAAACTATTTCCCATCAGGCTCTTTTTCTGCTGAAAGTCTCCACTTTGCTATTAACCTCTCACTGATGAAAAATTATACATGCCCAGAAGCATTCACCAAGGAGATAAAACCAGTGAAAGTAACAACATTCAAGAAAAAATGGCTTCTAAATCTCTACACACACACCCAACACACACAAGATCCCCCCTTTATATCCCAGCCCCAGATGCATTCTGTTAAAGTACTAAACACCCTAAGAATGAATCACAGGAGGAGTCTCAGAATGCCTTACAATCTCCTTCCCTTCTGCTCCTCACAACAGACACAACAGACAAAGAGAAAGCTCTTTGAGAACTGCTCTTGAGATAACAGCTCTGAGAGAACAGTGGCTTGCCCAAGGTTGCCCAATAGTTGCATGTGGAGGAGTGGGGAATCAAACCTGGTTCTCCCATATTACAGTCCTTGCTCCTAACCACTACAGCATTGTACTTGATGTTTTGCTTCCCAGCACTTGATCCTTAGAATGTGTGCTATAATGATCAGCAATTAAAATGGAAAGCAAAATTAGATTTTTCTTTCTTTTTAAAAATAATATCAAATTTACACCTAGACATCTACATAGCTCTTTACAGGCTATATATTATTTTTAAAGGGAAGGGAATCTTGAGAACCAAGGGACTACAAACTAGTTAGGGTTTGTGCAAAATTAGGGGTGTGTGGAAAGAATAGCAACAAAACGTCTAGGTTGACTAATGCACAAGGAGTCTGTAAAAAACAAAGATAATTTCTAATAAATATTAAACAGGAAGGATAGGATAAAAGCCAGGTCGAAGGACACTATTAGAGTTAATCCCTGTTTTATAAGGATCTAACTTCTGTGTTCCTCTTTTGGGTTTGTTTTTTAGTGCCAACAGGACAGCCAAGCTTGTTGCCAAGACAAGTAGGCCATGTCCTTAGACTCCCACTACATACTACTTTCTGGGCTGTGTCCCCCGGCATCCTTCCCATTCTTGGCTTGGAACTTACTATTCTGTGCCGTTGTGTGCTGCTGAAGAAGGTGTCATGGTGATTACTCCCAAGAAACCTGTATGGGGGGAAAAACTTGACTGAGAACATAGTAGACTAGAAACCCAGAGCTTGTGAGAGAAGAGTAGATGCTTCAGGCCTGTTTATCCATGGCCACTGCTATTCTTTTCTACCCTCCTACTATGAATATTAGTCAGACTCTACAACCCAGTCTTCGCAAAAATAAATATTACAGAATCCCCTCAGTGAAATCCAGTGCTTATTAAAGGGTCATGGACCTTTTATTACATTATACTTATGGTATAATAATGGTTCAGATTGGAGGCCTTGAACTAATCTTCCATGTAATACCAATACAGCATGTGATACTACTGCAGCATCAAGAGAAATGTAATCTTGGGCTGAGTGACAACTGCTAGTGTGGCAGTTAAATCTCGGTCTAATTGACTTTATCAAATGGAAATTGATGCCTTTATATTATAGTAGTAGTTCCTGATTCAGAACCACAATATTAACAGTAGATGGTGTCAGAGTCAAACGGTCCAGGCAATATATAGTTTAAACTGTCAAGCTAAGGAAAATATGATCATATACAAAAATTCTCTCAAAATTACCCCCTAGGAAAATACTCCAACCCCGTTTTATGGTTCCTTATTTGCTTTTTAATCTCATCTGTATACAGCAGCTGAGCCACATTGCTCTGGAATTCAGCTAAGTGCTTAGAAACTGAGCTGGGGAGGAGGAAAAGCTAGATGTTTAACCCCTCTTCTGAGGCCTAAATATGAGACTTGAGGCAAGAATCCTGTACTCCCTTATAAGCCATACAGCTATACCAAACAGATACCAACATAATAAACTAACGTTCGCAAAGGTCCCATCTATACTACATACTTATTTTACGACAGTAACTGTAATGTCTTTCCCCAAAGAAATCCTGGGAATTGTAGTTTGGAGAGGTGCTATGAATCTCCATGCAAGATCTTTAGCATCCCCCTTCAAGAACTGCCATTCTCAGGACTACCCTGGAAGACAGAATGACTTAAATCAAGGCCTGCAATGTAAATGTGCCCATAGTGCTTTTCCAGGCACTTGAGCAGGGCTCCTTTCGGGCCGGAGCGCACCGGAGCACTGCTCCGGCAGCCCAGTAGCTGCCACAAATGGCAGTGGCAGCAAGCCCCATCCCCAGCTCCCTGCGCCAAAGCGCTGTGGCCCGGGGAAGGCCTGAAGAGGCCCATTGCTGGCCTCCCGGGGCCCGTGCTGGAGCTCTGCGGCCTGGGTGAGGCCTGAGGAGGCCTGTCGCCGGTCTCCCGGGGCCCACGCTGGAGCACTGCAGCTTGGGGGAGGCCCGAGGAGGCCCATCGCCGGCCTCCCAGGGCCGACGCTGGAGCGCTGTGGCCCGGGAGAGGCCTGAGGAGGCCCATCGCGGGCTCCCAGGGCCTGTGCTGGAGTGCTGCAGCCTGGGGGAGGCCTGAGGAGGCCTGTTGCCAACATGTTGGGGCCCGCGCCAGAGCGCTGTTGCCTGGGGAAGGCCTTGATCATGGTAAGTGAGGGATCCACGTGAGGAATCCGCAGGGGTGGTGGTGTGAAGGGCTTGATGGGGGGTGGGAAAGCCTTCCTCCCTCTCCCCATCTCTTTATTTATTTTTATTTATTTATCACACTGTATCCTGCCCTCTCTGCAAGCAGGCTCAGGGTGGCTAACAGTATTTGGTACAATGCACCAAATCGTAAAACAGTTAAAACAATCAAAACAGTCAAATAATTTACAATTAAATAATTTACAGTTAAAATGCTCACAGTTTTAAATCACAGTGGTGAACCATATAATACCGCACTAGATGGTACCATATAATGTCAGTTAGGCTGGCCTTGCACCACAGATGTTAATTGCGGGCACTTGTGATAGTGGCGGCGGCTCCTAATTGAAGGCCTGGTGGAAGAGCTCATTCCACCAGTAAGGAGCCGCCACTGAAGGCCCTAGCCCTGGTCGCAGCAAGCCTGGCATCCCTGGGGCCTGGGATAACCAGCCGATGTTGTGACCCCGACCGTAGTGCTCACTGGGGTATGTATGGGGAAAGGCCCTCTTTCTTTCTTTGCCCTCTTTCTTTCCCTCATTTCCTTCTCTCCTTTCCTTTCTCTCTTTCCCCCTTCTCTCTTTCTTTCCCTCCTTCTTCTCTTCTTTCCCTCCTTTCGTTCTCTCCTTTTCCTCTTTCCTTCTTCCCTTTTCTTTCTCTTTCTTTCCCTCCTTCTTCTCTTCTCTCTTTGCCTCCTTTCATTCTCTCCTTTTTATCCCCTCTTTCCTTCCTTCTTTCCCTCTTTATTTCCTTCTCTCTACTTTCTCTCTCTCTCCTTCCCTCTTTCCTCCTTCTGTGGCCCAACTCTAGTGAGAAGGGGTTTAAACTTTAAACCCCTTCTCTCTTCACTCCCCACCCCCGCAACCAGCTGGGAAAGGGAAGGGGAGCCTTTTGAAGATACCTTCCCCCCCTTTTTGCTTCCCCTTCTGTCATCACTTCCGGTGATGTCAGGTGGTGTGGCATATGCTAATGAGCTATTATGCTAATAGCCTAGTAGCTCATTAGCATACCTTATTTTCTATGAAATGACCCCTGCACTTGAGAGATTCTATTTTAATCTGAGACAAGCGTAGACCAAGAAAGAAAGGGAGAAGAACTGTAATTCTGAAACATTACCATGGTAATTTGTTTGCCTTAAAATGGCAGGTGTAGTAATCCAAGGGCAGGTCAGGAACCTCATCGTAGAGAATACTAGGGATGCCCAGTTTCATCAGAAGTCTGTGAGACCAGTTAAGTACTGCCTGATTGGGTACAGCCTGGAGAAAAAGTACAGGAGAATCTTGCTAGATGGGAAGGGCACTGTGTGTACAAACTAGGGAGTCTGTACAAACACATGGAACCAAACAGATTATAATGAGGTTAAGGACCTGTAAAAAATCAAGAAGTGCATGCAGATGAACTCAGAAGAAGAGCATAAAACGAGGGGGCAATTTCTCATGTATGTTGTCATCACAGATCAGCAATATGTGTTGGATAACAGCACCTATTTTCTTACCACACACATCAGTTCCTTGTATATAATTAATCTATCTTTGCTAGAGATGTAACATTTCTGGAATTTTGAAGCTGGGGAAAAAAAGAAATCTTGGGAGGAAATTGAAAGACATGAAATACTTGCTGACCTATCAAACCTAGACAAATTTTACAACTTTAACAGACATTGCATCATTTATAATGTACTTAGCATATAAAATTGCAACATTTGAAACAGTCATGGAATTTAAAAGTTATAAATGCCTTAGTTTTCTACAAGCAAAACTGCAAAGATATGCAAGGCTTAAAAGAAAACTGCAAGCTGACGCACCCTATGCTGCTTTAGCCCATATACTTTAATTTTTTGCTACCTGAAGAATAGAAAAAAATAGTAGTTAAAGGGAAAACACAAGCTTTGTGTTAAATGACATAAAATATATTATTTGGTCAGGAAAAAGAGTCACAGAAAGGGTTTTGCTTCCCAGCACTTGATCCCTAGTTTGTATGCTATAATGATCAGCAATTAAGTCTTTCTGCTTAGAGAGAGAGAGCGGAAACGGTTTAAAAAATGGATTGTTGTTAAAGGGAAGAAAAGATAGAAAAATTGTACAAGTGCAACTAATTGGCAGTTTATTTTGGTGACTTGATTTATTGCTGTTTCATTAATTCTCTTAAGTTTCTCTTCCTTTACGTGATGAGTATGGATGGATTTAAGTATGTGAATGGATCTATGTTGTATTATATGTTCTTAGTGGGTATTTGTTAGCACAAAAGAGGGGGAGGGTATAAGGAATGTGTAGACTAATTAAAGTGGAAATATTAGGATTTATTTTTATTATTATTATTATTATTATTATTATTATTATTATTATTATTATTATTATTATTATTATTATTATTATTATTATTATTATTATTATTATTTATTTTTTTAGATAGATATTTCTTTAAACTTTCTTTCCACGTTATTGCTGGACTGATGGGAAAAAATAGTATATCAACGTAGGGTCAGAAGTAGGTTTCTCTCTAGTTAGCAGAACTAAAAAAATGTTTAAAAGATATTTTAAATGGAAATATAAGAGATACTTAAATGTTTTTATAAATGGGTGATCAAGAGGTAATATAGGCTCTTCATTCTTAGAATACAAAATAAATCTGAACCAGTAAAAATAAATGAAATGTTAACTATGTAAGTGAATTGAGGAAACATCAAAGATATGGTTCCCTAAATATATATTGATCGTTCAAGAGAAGGTGAGAATGTTTGAATAGGTATATCAGTAAAGTATGAGTAAAGCTGTACTATAATAGTAAATTTCCAATTAAGTTCCACCTACTAAAAATATATATTAAACAAAAGACGTAAAGTAAAGTAAGATGTTGATACAAAATCTTAGTGGTTGATGTGGATGGCTAGAAATAGAATGAATTTAAATTGTTATCTTTAAAGCAGTTCAAATAGGGAATAAGAAATTACTTAAACAAATAGAATGACATTATTAAAATGAAGCTTATTTGGTAGTAACATTATTGATACTATATGAATTGTAAATTAAATCTACTGTAAACTTTGTTGTTGAAGTAATTTATAGAACCCTGTAATACGTGTTTTAAGATACTGGATTGGAAAAGGATAATAGGAAATGGCACTAAATGTATAAGTAAATTATCTTAATTTTGATTGGAGAATCTATAATTAAGCTATCAATCCTGATTTGAATGTTACGATGTGCTTAAATAATTATATGTCCCGTTGTGTGTGTGTTTGTCAGAAAATAATAAATAGATTATTAAAAGAGAGAGAGGGAGAGACAGAGAGCTCAGTTCTCAATGAAGCTTTCAGGGTTTTCCTCTGAGGCTTTAGTGCAGCTTCTGCCCCAAAGTCTTCTGAACCTTTTCCCCCCCTCCAGCAAGGTAGGGCAATAAACTACCTGATGCCCAGTCTGTGGGTATTTGTGTCACAGTGGTTTGAAGGAGAGGTGAAAAGGTCAGCGCACAAGAGAAGAGTCAGGTCAAAAGTGCCACAGAAGCAATGAAAGCCCTGCATGCCGCCCTCATGAAGATCAGGTGTATTTCTAGGTGCTGACATGCATCTTGTATTTAAGAGCTATATACATCGACAACATGCCCAACTTGTCTTTAAAAACATTTAACTCATTCTAAAAGACTATTTCATCAGAGTTTTTTTTTCAGTACTCCCCCAAATTTCCAATTTTCCTCATAGAAAAATGGAAAAAAGGCCTCAGAATCAAACCAGGAAAAATATTTTTTTCCCTGAATTTTTCCATTCCCCCCCCCAACTTTACATCTCTGATCTTTGGGCATGAAGGGAGTGAAAAGAAATAAGGCTCCATCCCTTCCTCTGCACTGCTTTCTCCACCACTTGAAAATAATTGCAGTATGTAAGGCCAAATCTGCATTGGTATCTTCCGCTGCTTTGGCAATGCTCCCGCTCCGTCTCAAAAAAAGATCTCTACATCTCTTTCGGATTCGCTCTCCTACTGTACCATTATAAAAGCGAAGGAGAAGAAGAGATTGGATTTATACCCCGCCCTTCACTACCCGAAGGAATCTCAGAGCGGCTTACAAACTCCTTTCCCTTCCCCTCCCCACAACAGACACCCTGTGAGGTAGGTGGGGCTGAGAGAGCTCTGACAGAAACTTCTCTTTTTCAAGGACAGCTCTTATCAGAACTATGGCTTGCCCAAGGTCATCCAGCAGGTGCAAGTGGAGGAGTGGGGAATCAAACCCGGTTCTCCCAGATTAGAGTCCGCGCACTTAACCACTACACCAAACTGGCTCAGTTATAATTTCTGCTGTCTGCATTATTTTACTTCCCTATGGTTTCGACTCAGTTGTGATTGCGGTGTCTCACCGGCTCAACTGGATCTGGTTACAAAGCACTCTAAGCCCCCTCCCAAAAGCGCCATCTAGTGATGAAGACTTGAATCAACCAGATTGGAAGAATTTCTTGAACAAGCATAAAGAAAGACAGCGTCGAGACTGCCTTAAAAATGAAGATGTAGACATGACCTAAGACTGGAGCAACTCTACTACCTGTATAAAGAAATGCAAGCTGACCGCCACTCTTTCCCAATCACTTGATGAAGCTACAGAGCAAGGTTTCAACTCCACAAGCAAAACTCTAGACTGTATCACTTGAGACCACAGATGAAGGAACACTTCATGACTGAATGCTTCCCCATGTAAAATTCCCGGAGCATGGAAAACTAGATATTATGGAAAAGGATTCTTATCTAGTCTTCTCTTTGATGCATTAGTGATATTTATAGTATAGTATCTAAATATGGAACACCTACCACCTGCACTTTAAAGTGAAATAGTCCAACATAAATTTTATCATATCTCTCATCTGCAGTTTGTACACCACAATACCAAGTACAACCAAAACAGAAAGCAAAGTTTGTCCCAAAGGCATTTGTAGGGTAACACCCTCACCTGCAGAGGAACCCTCAGGCGGAGATCCTCAGCATAATAGCAAAGCACACTCCAGGGGGCATTCAGCAATACAAAGTACACCAGCTTCTTTGGATTCTGAGCTACATGCTGGAAAAGAAGGAAGGAAAGCAACAGTATGAATTGATTGCACTGAAATTCCTTTGCTGTGCATCTCCTTGCAAAAGCTTAGTGATTCCTAGAGAAGAATGCTCCTTTTTCAGGGCACTCCATAATCTTCTGTGGCTGGGGACAGGTGTCTTGTCATGGTCACACTGGGTCCACTGTCAGCTCTTCTGCAGAACAGTGCTGTTGCTGATCCCTTTATGGCTATTGGAATCTTCAGGCTAGCCTAATTTCACCAGATCAAGATCTCGTGAGTGAAGCAGAATTAGCCCTGGTCAGTATTTGGTAGGGAGACGACCAAGGAATACCCAGGGGTGTGATGCAGAGGCAGGCAATGGCAAACCATCTCTGAACAACTCTTGCCCTGAAAACCCACAAGGGTTGCCAAAAGTTGGTTGCGACTTGATGGCAAACCCCCCAAAACATATGCTGGGTAGAAAGTATGTATTTACTTAGAAAAATTTTATGCTGCCTCTCTGGAAAACCTGCCTGAGGCAGCTTACAAAATAAAAATAATAAAATATTTTAAAAAATAAAAAAAATAAAATTTATTAATTAAAATCCAGCATTACAAACAGCATAAAAATCATAGACCATAACACAAACCACTGAGCAGCTTCAAATGAAAGCTTTCAGACTAAAATACACTGAAGTTGTGTTAAAGATCAAATCCCTAATTAAAAACCTAGGTGAACAGAAACATTTTGGCTGGACACCTAAAATGGAGCTATATATTCTTGGCTCTTCCTCCTTCTGCTCCACATTCGTATGCTAGGTTTAATCCCATTAAGGTGTACTCAGCCCCCAAAATATGCATTTCAGGGAGGTGCAGGGCTGCCAGCAATGCATGACAAAAATGAAGTCAGGTCGTCATGTGTTGTCAGTGCTCCTCTATGTTCTTGACACTGACTGCGGGGGGGCGGGGGGGAGATGAGGAGACATTACCAGGGAAATGGAAGTCAATGGCACCCTCACATCTTTCCACAGGCAATACAAGACTGATAATCATCTAAGCTACTGCAGTTTTTTCACTATGGAGATGGAGAAGCGAGCTGAAGAAGACAGTTAAAGTTATGAACATCCCTTACTAAAAAAGTTTCAAGTTACACAAAGGTCTTCAAGGAACAAAACAGTCAAAATTAGATTTTGATATGGAGTAAAATGAAACTCAACTTGATGGTACTATATAACTGCTGGAGAATACTACAGTGCAAACACAGGACTCCCAACCCTGTGTCTGCTATGTAATCCTAAAGGCAGGAACATTTGCATGAGAGAAGTAGTGGCAGGGGGATTAAGTCTCCCCCCTGCAAATGCTTCTTGGCTGTTGCTAACCTATTCTTCCTCAGCTAGATTTGGAGATAAAATAATCCTTTTTTGGGGGAAATAAACCTGAACAGCATTTGCAGGAGAGGCCTGGCAGGCAGCAGATTCACTCTTGTGTATGTCTGCTCACCACCACATTCACGTTACCTCACTGCTGTACCTTCATAATAGCCAACTTGCAAGTTTGAGACGTGCAATTTGAGAGTTGGGGACTTCGTTAAGGGTTCAAGAAAGAGGAAAGCATGCACATCGTTGCTTCATAAAGATGCCCCCCCCAATCCCCCTCTCTCCCTAAAGAATGGTGGCACCAATAAAACCAATGAAAAGCAGAAAAAACACTAAGACCAGAGAGTCTGATTACCGTTTCCATTCGCAACCCTGCCTTCTGGAGTTTATTCAGAAAACTTTGCCGCCACATTCTGTGCATATCAAGTGATTTCCCTCGCTTAGGAGTCCGAGTCCCTTGGTCTCCAGTTTGCTCCTCCAAATCCTGATGATCTGATTCCCATGCAAGGACAAAGTCTGAGACAAAACAGACACAGAGAACAGATCCTTAAAGTAACAACTGTTGACATCAGCAAGCAAAGGTGATCAATCACCATGGAAACTTAGACTGTAAGGATAGGAACAGTGTGGGATGGTCAATGGAAACCCTAAGGCAATGAGATGCTACAAGAGATGCAGCAAAGACTAAGGCTTCCCTGCACTTCCTATCACCTCGTTGGTCCTGTTGTCCACTCAAAGCACACAAAATATTCAGGGAAACATATTCTTTGCACAAGATAAAGTAAAAAAGGAATCCAGGGTCACTAGGTCACAGCTCCCAAAGATGCATAGCAAATCATAATCAGGATGGTTGAGGGCAGGGGACATTTTGTAGAAAAAGAGGTGCAGGAGCTCATTAGCATAACTAATTAGCATAACTTATTTGCATATGCCACACCCCCTGACATCACCTGAAGTGTGTCAGAAGGCAACACCCACCGCTCAGGCTCCACTGGACTGTTTTGGATTGCTAGCTAGTGCGGGGGGGGGGAACGTGCAGATCTGTCCTCGCAGAGGAGGGAGAGCTTGTATCTGAATAAAACTTTTGTGCCACTGGACTGTTTTGGACCAGGGGGCTGGGGGGGGGGAGCTCTGCAACTTACCTGGCTGCTTCTTGATCTGAGTGAGGGCTGCTGGGAGCAGGAGGTGGGGCTTGTTGCATGTGCCCACCCCCTGGGCTCTTTACTGCCGGAGCTCCGCTCCTGTGCCGCTCCTGCAGGAAATGACCCCTGGTTGAGGGCCAGGGCCAGTGAACCTGTGATCTGATGCACCCCCCTGATTCAATTGCTCTGCTCCCTCTGCTCCTCTGAATTAAGGGAGCAGGAAATTCAGTCACAGAACTTGGTGTTTCATCTACTCTGGATTTCAGGTTTCTTGTAAAAATCAACACAGAGCAAGATTCTATTCCACATGCTTGGAAAACTGTCAAAAATGTATTATCAGTTTCTGTTGAAGACTTAGGGCCAAAGCAGATGCATGGCCCCAGGGGAAGGGGCAGATCACTTCCAAGGAAGACTGATGGGCTGAGCAGGATCCGCGGGTGGAATGGTTACGTAACCTGCTGCTTCCAAACCCACTGATTCACCTGTAAATGCCCTCCTGTCTGTTGTTACCTAAGCCAAGTTCACTTCTGGATAGAAGCCCTATTGGTGAGGAATCTTTTAAAACAACCTGCATAGAGGCTATTTGTATGAAAGAATTAGTAGGTGGGGAACAATTAAGGGCATGATTCTGCCTGATCTCCCCTGCAAATGCACTCTTCTCAACTTCCACATTAGGGTAGGGGAACTATGATGCTGGAAAGCCTGTGTTTCTCTTGTTAACATCGAGTGTACTTGAATAAGCACCTTCCATCAATCAAGAATGGAAATTTCTCTGCAGAGCAGTTTCCAGACCCTGCAGTTCTGCTTACTGGCACTGTTTGTTCACGAAGTGCTGATTAAAGTATTTGAAGATGCATAGGGATGGAGCTTTCTACAAGTGCAAGGAGCCTTGCTCTACCAAAAAAAAAAGGCCTTTTGCACCAGTGGAAGACTCCATAGTTAGCAGGGATTCTGAGTGCTAGAGACAGTGAAAAGGGATTTTTGAAATGCAATAACAGCAAGTATTCCATCTCTTAAATCAGTATTCTTTCAAAATAAAATATCTGCTAATCTCAGAAATCATTACCCAACTTGTACTTGTAATGCTGCAGTGTCCTTACCGATCCTGGTATTCCCATCACTGAAGAAGTTTGGCGTGCTGTGTACAGAACGGCCCAGCGATTTTTGTTTATTCAACTGAAAGAATAATGTTAACAGTATGAATGAAAAGGGAGATGGGCTCAGATTTCTCATTGCAGCAATACTGAGTAGTAAAAGGACAAGATCGGCTGTGTCAGACAATACCTGCCTTTTTCTCAATAGAATTCGAACCGTGACGGATGCTATCTGTCCAGAGCAAGATGGGTAGCTGTGTTAGTCTGTCTGCAGCAGCTGCAAAGAGTAAGAGTCCAGCAGCACCTTAAAGACTACCAGCATTTGTGGCAGGGTCTGAGCTTTCGTGAGTCACTGCTCACTTCTTCAGATACTTCTTTTTTTAGAGTATTTTTGTATTTTGTGTGTATGCCTGGAAGTCAAGGTTGACTTCTGGCGACCCCTAGTGGTGCTTGGACGTTTCAAAGAGGTGGCTTACTATTGCCTGCCTCTGCATCTCAGCTCTGGTATTCCTCGGGGGGTCTCCCTTCCAAGTACTTTCCAGGGTCGGCCCTGCTTCGCTAACCAAGATCTGACAAGATCGCGCTTGCCTGGGCTATCCAGGTCAAGTATCTGGACTGTTACTTTTTCTACTGTCCAGAGTAGTACTCAAGCCTCCACAACTAAGAACAATGTCACAGAAAAGGCACTACAGCTAGCAAAGACCCACTACTAGTATGGAGACTGTGTGGTATGATGGTTAGAGTGCCGGACTAGGATCTAGGAGACACAGGTTCAAATATCCATTCTGTTATGGGAGCTTACTGGGTGACCTTTGGCTAGTCACATACTCTCAGCCTGACCTATCACACAGAACTGTTGTGAGAATAAAATAGAGGAGAGGGGAACAACAAAGAGTCCTTTGAGTCCCCATTGGGGAGGAAGGAAAGATATAAATGAAGAAAATAAATAAACAAACCTGCCAAGTGGTTTTTTTTTGGGGGGGGGGGAAATGGGACAACATCATTTTGGGTAACCATATCTAAATCTGTCACCTTCTCACCCAAATATGGACAGCTTAGTTTGAATAATATATGTCAAACAGCATAACTGGGAAAGCTAATCTTGTTCCAGCCAAGATCAAGTACCACCACCTCTCTTATTAATCCATTCACCACATTTCTATCCTGCCCTTTCAGATCCTGGCTTTCAAGAGAAACAGACAACTGCCTTAAAACTGCAAACTAGAAAAGGCTAATTAACTAACAAGAACGTGACAAGGTGAATACTGGCGGGGGGGGGGGAGAAGATCACTAGAACATCTGGGACAAGCTTAGAACTGATACCAACTTGGGGCCAGGCTGATCTTCCCTCATTGGCGGTTTTGCTTGGAGGGAAGTGGTGCAACTACCCTGAGGCTGTTAGCCCTCTGACTGATGACAAAGGCCCAAGTTCCTTCCCTCACTTCTGCAGTCTCAGAACACTTGGGCACTTGGTAAGTGAAGCAAAGTATTTTAAGCAGAGAAGAAGCCAGCTATACCCCCACATAAGTGACACCATCTATCTATCTATCTATCTATCTATCTATCTATCTATCTATCTATCTATCTATCTATCTATCTAACAGAAAGTTCCCTCACCGTAAAATCAACGCCCAGGCCAAACCGCTGGACCTAGAGACACCAAATTCGGGGAGAGCATTCCTACCGTGGCGTAGGTGCTTGCTAAGAAGGGATTTTTAGAAATTCAACCCCTAAGTTGTTCAAAAGGGGTAAAATGTGCTCCCCCCATTGATTTCTATGTGGCTGCCAGGCTGCAGCCTGCTTGCACCCCCCACTCTCTGATTGGTCAGCTGCAGAGCTCAGTGTTCTGAAGTAAAAAAAAGTTACAGGGGACTGCAAAGAGCTAATGACAGTTGAGGTAATCAGGAGTGGCCAACCGCCTGTGAGGTGAAGCAAAGCTGCTGACCCAGCCTCTTTGATGGCTTCCAACACACTCCCTCCCCTCCTACACTGGACAAGCAGTTGTCTGTCAGGTGCAGCAGCAATTGCAGGGTGCTGAAAGCCATGAGAGAGCCCACCCCAGCAGTAACGCCTTAGTGATCCTGCCAGCCTTGCCTCCACAGTGGCTTCTAATACTCCTCCCCCCCTCCTACACTGGACAGGCAGCTGCCTATCAGGTGTAGGAGAGGAGGTGGGATGCTTACAGCTGCTGTGGAGGTTTGCTCAGCAGGATTGCCTTAGCCCTGCTGCTGGCCCAGCCTCCCCGATGCCTTTAAATACAATCCCCCCCCAACACCAGACAGGCCGGTGTCTGTCAGGTGTAGGAGCAGGGCCAGGGTATGAATGTTTATGGGGAGATAGAAAAGGACATCTCTAGGAGCCATTTCGATACGTGCCTCCCTCATGAACCTGAAGAAATGTCCACCACAGCACCACTCCCTCACAACCCCTCACACCTCTCATCCTTTACTACCCCCAAGAAAGCTCCTGGCAAACGTTGAGCCAAATACACCAACGCTACAAGGAGGAGGCAACTCAGGAATGCGGCAAGGACATTTGCACATAGTACTCCTGCAGTGCACTGAGCTGCACAGGCCAAGTACCAGCAAGATCACCCTGAGGTGCTCAGAACAACACAGTCTCCATATGAGCAAAGCAGTCCAGGAACACAAGTAGAGAGGCCATCACTTTCATGGAAGGTGGCAGGAGTTGACTTAACAGATGACTGCTTCTTAAATGGACAGTTCTATGTGGCCTGCTCCAGAGTGAGTTCACCAAGCAGCCTGGTGATCCTAGCACCTGAGGGCAGAACCACCAATGTGGTTTACAGAGAGGTCCTTCAGTAGAGGGGGGGGGGAAGGTATGCATGTCTCACTTCATTTCTTACACTACAATCTTCTCTGTTAGAATTCCTACAACAAATGTTACATTTCAAACTTCACATCATCAGTATTATAACTAGATTTACGGAACTTAAATACTATAGCAAAGCACGGGTTATCAGGCTAGTCAAATATAATCAAACCAGCAAACAGTTCTCGAGATTCCACCCCACCTATTACAGTAGGTGAAGCAAGACTTCTCAGCCTCTGGAACTGAGTTCCTGAAGGGGTAAAGGCAGCTAAATCCCTTATGCAGCTTCTAAGGGGATGCAATACATGTATTTTCATTTCTTCATTTAGGAAGTTTGTACGCTGTCTCTCCAGAGTCATGCTTGAGGCAACTTACAAGTAAAAACAACCATAAATCCATTAAAAATTATCTATATTATTATAATATTATTTCTCACTGGGACTCAAGGCAGATTACAGATAATAAATCAGTACAATCAACATAAAGCTGAAATTAGAAAACAGGAAAAAATAATAAATTATCAATATAAAAACAAGTCACGGTTGACTTGTTTTTAGTCAAGGGTATAAAAGCAGCATAAAACAATCATGGAGCATCCCAAAGATATTCATAAAACAGACCTCTGACGAGAAGGAGACCATGAAACAGCTGAACAGCTAGAACCCCTTCGTTAAAAGCCCGGGTAAAGAGAATTTTTTTGCCTGGCTCGTGTGTGAGACAGCATGGTCCATGACAGATGAGTTTCAAGGGAAAGGGCATTCCCAAGTAGAGGAGCCACCACTGAAAGTGACCACGCTCTACAACCGGCTTCACTTCTGGCTCTGAAGCACAGAGAGTAAGGCTTGAGAGGCAGAACTAGCAGGCTGAACAGACAGTATGGGAGGAAACTGTCCCTTAGGTTTTTAGCATGGCTGAAACTATTTTATGGGGGAGTGAGATATCTGGAAGCTCTTTTCTGCTGTTGCTGGTTTACTGCTGCATATTTTATTCTGCGACTGCTACATATATCAACTGGGCCTCTGGTATTAAAACCAAGTTCTGAGGCAAAAGGTCTTGTGAGCTCCAGCTCAAATGAAATCATTTGTGAGAATATCACATGCTACATCAAAAGGACTGGGAGAGGACAGACTCTCCAGTTACCTGGGAGAAGAAAAGCCTCTTCCCTCAGGACATTTGGTGCTATTTGGCCCTGGTTGCTAATTAGCACTCTTCAGGGCAGGGGCTGTTTTCTTCATGACCACAGACCCTTTTAAAGCCACTGGCGTTACAGGACATCCCCCCCTCCCCCTGCAATGTCTTCATGGCAATCACTGCTTTTTCTTGGGAAATGTCACGTGACGTTTCTCCAACTGCTACATTGATCATAGACTCAGGACAACCAGAATTCAAGCAAACCTATTGTGCAACGATAGGACACAAACACAGCTGCCTGAGGGATTATTATTTTTAAGGATACTTAGTATTTGAATAGTGCTTCCAGGGTTCAAAGAGCTTTTTATATATGATCACAGTAATCCTTACTGAGGTACTGAAAGAGAATGGCTTGTCCAGGGCCACCTAGTGAGTTTGTGGTTGAGTTGAGAGTTGAAACAGAAATCTCCTGAGTCACAGCTTATACATTATTCTACACCAGCTTTACAGTTTCCATCAAGCTTTTACTGGTTATTGGGGCCTTGTCTTAGGAGCCTGGAAACTCCTAATAAGAACATAAGAACATAAGAGATGCCAATGTTGGATCAGGCCAAAGGCCCATCCAGTCCAACACTCTGTATCCCACAGTGGCCAGAAATACCAGTGCCATCAAGAGGTCCACCAGTGGGGCCAGGACATTAGAAGCCCTCCCACTGTTGACCCCCCCCAAGCACCAAGATGACAGAGCATCACTTGCCCCAGAGTCCCTATCTATACCTTGTGGCTAATAGCCACTGATGGACCTCTGCTCCATATGCTTATCTAATTCCCTTTTGAAGCCGTCCATGCTTGTAGCTGCCACCACTTCCTGTGGCAGTGAATTCCAAGTGTTAATCACTCTTTGGGTGAAGAAGTACTTCCTTTTATCCGTTCTAACCCGACCGCTCAGCAATTTCATGGAGTGCCCACGGGTTCTTGTATTGTGAGAAAGGGAGAAAAGTACCTCTTTCTCTACCTGCTCTTTCCCATGCATAATCTTATAAACCTCAATCATGTCACCCCTCAGTCGTCGTTTCTCCAAGCTAAAGAGCCCTAAGCGCCTTAACCGTTCCTCATAGGGAAAGTGTTCCAACCCTTTTATCATTCGAGTTGCTCTTTTCTGCACTTTTTCCAAAGCTATAATATCCTTTTTAAGGTGTGGTGACCAGAATTGCACACAGTATTCCAGATGAGGTCGCACCATTGATTTATATAGCGGCATTATGATATTGGCTGATCTGTTTACAAAACCCTTCCTAATAATCCCCAGCATAGCATTGGCCTTCTTTATTGCAGTCACACACTGTCTCGACATTTTCAGTGAGTTATCTACTACAACTCCAAGATCTCTCTCTTGATCTGTCTCTGCCAGTTCAGACCCCATCAACGTGTATTTATAGTTAGGATTTTTGGCTCCAATGTGCATCACCTTGCACTTGGCCACATTGAACCCCATTTGCCATGTTGACGCCCACTCGCCCAACTTTGACAGATCCCTTTGGAGTGCCTCACAATCCTCACTGGTTTTCACCACCCTGAACAACTTCGTATCATCCGCAAATTTAGCCACTTCACTGCTTACTCCCAACTCCAAATCATTAATGAACAAGTTAAAAAGCAGTGGACCAAGTACTGATCCCTGTGGTACCCCACTGCTTACACCCCTCCACTGGGAGAACTGCCCATTTATACTCACTCTCTGTTTTCTATTAATTAGCCAGTTTTTGATCCATAAAAGGACTTGTCCTTTTATCCCATGATTTTTGAGCTTGCTTAGGAGCCTTTGATGAGGAACTTTATCAAAAGCTTTCTGGAAGTCAAGGTAAACAATATCTATTGGATCCCCCTTGTCCACATGTTTGTTCACCCCCTCAAAGAACATTAACAGGTTAGTGAGACAAGATCTTCCCTTACAGAACCCATGTTGAGTCTGCCTCAATAGGTTTTGTTCATCTATGTGCCTACTAATTCTTTCCTTAATAATGGTTTCCACCAATTTACCCGGTATCGACGTCAGACTGACTGGCCTGTAATTTCCCGGATCTCCTCTGGAACCCTTTTTAAAGATGGGAGTGACATTAGCTACCTTCCAGTCCTCAGGAATGGAGGCTGATTTTAAGGAGAGATTACATATTTTTGTCAGGAGATCCACAAGTTCACAATTGAGTTCTTTCAGAACTCTTGGATGTATGCCATCTGGGCCTGGTGATTTATCAGTTTTTAAGTTGTTTATCAGTTTTAGGACCTCCTCTCTCGTCACCTCAATCTGACTCAGGTCTTTCAACACCCCTCCCGAACTCAGCGGCTCTGGAGTGGGCAAGCACCTCTCATCTTCCACAGTGAAGACGGAGGCAAAAAATGCATTTAGCTTCTCAGCCATTTCCCTATCATCCTTCAGTACTCCTTTTACCCCTTGGTCATCCAAGGGCCCCACTGCCTCCCTGGCTGGTTTCCTGTTTCTAATGTATTTGAAGAAAGTTTTATTGTTGGTCTTTACATTTTTTGCTATATGCTCCTCATATTCCCTTTTTGCATGCCTGACCACAGACTTGCATTTTATTTGCCATAGCCTGTGTTCTGTTTTATCAGCCTCACTGTGACTAGCTTTCCACCGCTTAAAGGAATCCTTTTTACCTTTTACAGCTTCCATTACTTTGTTTGTTAACCATGTAGGCTTTTTCTTATACCTGTTTGTGCCTTTCCTAACCTGCGGAATATATTTTATTTGAGCTTCTAGAATTGTAGTTTTAAACAGTTTCCAAGCTTCCCCAATGGTTTTGACCCTTTCTACTTTTCCCTTCAGTTTCCTCCCCACATGTCCCCTCATATCAGAAAAATTACCCCTTTTAAAGTTAAAAGTGGTTGTGTGAGTCTTTTTGGCCAATTCCCTATTTGTACAAATGTTGAACTCAACAACATTATGATCACTGTTCCCAAGCGGTGCAATCACTTTTACATCTCTCACCAGGTCTTGAGTGTTACTTAGGACCAAATCAAGGATCGCCTCTCCCCTGGTAGGTTCCATGACCATCTGCTCCATAGCACAGTCATTTAGAGTGTCTAGAAACTCAATCTCTTTCTCTCGACTAGAACACATATTGACCCAATCAATGTGTGGGTAGTTAAAATCACCTATTACGACACAGTGTTTTTGTCTAGCTGCTATCTTTAATTCATTCATCATTTTATAATCCTCCTCTATCTTTTGATCCGGTGGGCGATAACAAACTCCCAGTGTTAAGTTTCCTTTTGGCCCCCCTATTTCAACCCACAGAACTTCAAGAAGCGAATCCAATTCTCTTAGCCTCTCGATCTTTCTGGACTTTATACCCTCTCTGACATACAGAGCCACCCCACCTCCAACCCTTCCCCCCCTATCCTTCCGATATAATATATAACCGGGAATCACCGTATCCCACTGATTTTCCTCATCCCACCAAGTTTCTGAAATACCCACAATGTCTATTTTTCCCTCTGACACCAAGCACTCCAACTCCCCGATTTTACCTCGGACACTTCGAGCATTTGTATAGAAACAGCTGTAATTTCCCATACTGGTTAAGCCTGCCACCTTCCTCTTGCAATCTCGAGACCTTGTCAGGCAGTCCAATGGAAGTAAAGAGGGCAGAGGGACAGACACAGGGACCCAATGGAAGTAAAGAGGGCAGAGGGACAGACACAGGGAGAGGAAGTAAGTAAGTTAATGCCTGTTTCCAACTCATTGCAGTGAAATGATAATTCCCTGTGGAGGTTAGAGAGGCCTCAAGGCAGAGAGAGCTGGCTGAAGAAGGGCTGGTGATCTCTGCCACCTTGGAAGGCCCTTCAGTGTAGGGGCACAGCAGAACTCAGCAGCTCCCACTTACTACATAAATGTTGCATAATTTCTTATTTCCCAACAGCATCCCACAATCACATCAAGCATGCCATTTACACCGAAATGATGCTGATAACCACAAAAGTTCAGAGATCAACAACTGGCACATACAATGGCACCATAAGTAATACAGAAATATCCACAGACAAACTCCTTTGCAGTTCCCTCAGTTTAAGAGGCTGAAAGAACCCTACTGGAATCCCACTTGACTATGGGATCACAGACCCTTGACTTAAGGGCAAAACATTCCTTAATCAGACCCTCCCTCAGCAGCATACTCATGGAGGAGGGGAGATTTGTTTTTTAAAGTCCACCTAAAAACAAACACATTTCTGAATGGCCTGTAAACTGTTAACAGAGGAGGCATACTTCTCATTCCCCAATAATGTTGAAGAGAGTAGTTCAGCAGATTGGTTTGGCTAATGAGACTCTTGATCCATTTTTGAAACTGGCAAAATCAATTTTCTCTGGCAAATTAAGTTCTAGATTATCCTGACCTTGACAGTAATAACCATACACACCCCCCCCACCGTTTAAGATCACTTGCTTCCCAGTGATGCTAATAAGCCCAGGATCTAGATAATTTCTTTGTAGCACTAGGAGCTTGTCCTTTATCAGTAGTTAAAGGGGGGGGACTTCTTAGAAGATAAATTATTTGCCTACCTGGGAGATCTCAATAGAGTTTATTGTGCTTAGGCTCCCATAATTGTTCTCATTTGCATTTTGCTCCTCAGGGATCAAGTTGCCATCTTCTTTGATCTTTCTCCGCTGCATCTTTATTCTTCATGCCATCGACAAGTAGAACTCTTCTTGGCTGCCTAGGAAGAATTACCAAACAATGGAATTTCTAGCACTGAAAGATCCAAAGTCACATGCTGCGAAGAAACTTTACCAGCTCCTGTTCAGTGGATCCTACTCAAATAGTATTACTGCCAGCAAGTTTCTCCCGGTCTAACCAGTCATGCTGCTTAAAGTTGCAGCAAATATTTCAGTAAACTCATACAGAAAGAGTGATTGCAAGTAGGTGAACACTGCTCGGGCCTGACATCTGCTCTGCAGAGAAGGGGGGGGGCACACAGCTTTCTCAAGTCACATGTAACCAACCCTTATTTTCAAATTAAACTGAGACACCCAGCCGACCTGATTAAAGCTTCACCTAGCATGAATGTGATTTGGGTAAGTGACCAAGGAGGAAATGGTCCAGTGTGGTTGTTGGCAAAAGAGCCCACATACACCAGAAGTACAGAAATGGGTTGCTGACATTCAGAACTGAAATTTCCTTTAGGGTAATGCTAGGCAAACTATTGAGCTAAATGTGGATTTGACTTTCAAATACTGCAAGGCAGGCTATCAGAAGGATTTTTCACACATTACTTTAACCCTTATCGGCACTTACTGGAACCCAAATCCCAACATGAATATACTTTAATCACATGCTGTTTGTTCAAATTCCAGGAGCAATATAAGTGTGAGAGGAAATGCCAAACCTGAGTGCTTGGGCAAGTCAGCGTTTATTTTAATTAGCCAAAAGATACATCATAAGAACATAAGAGATGCCAATGCTGGATCAGGCCAAAGGCCCATCCAGTCCAACACTCTGTCACACAGTGGCCAAAAATACCAGGAGCCATCAGGAGGTCCACCAGTGGGGCCAGGACATTAGAAGCCCTCCCACTGTTGACCCCCCCAGCACCAAGAAGACAGAGCATCACTTGCCCCAGAGCCCCTATCTATACCTTGTGGCTAATAGCCACTGATGGACCTCTGCTCCATATGCTTATCTAATTTCCTTTTGAAGCCATCCATGCTTGTAGCCACCACCCCTTCCTGTGGCAGTGAATTCCATGACTTTCAACTAAATAAATGACACGCCAGTACTAATAATTGATCACACTGACCACATAAAAGCAGCCTTCTGACCATAATAGTACGCTCAACTGGAAAAAAGGCCTCCAGTGTGGAATCTTGCAGTTTGCTTTACGAATTCTGAGGGCATCACTGAGTAGGTGCTGTTCTCTCTATTCCAACCATACAGCAATGGGAGAAACTGTGCCTGTGAAACTTCTGGATCCTTTCACCTTTGGTCTTTCTAAAAGCCTCAGATGTTGGCTAAGTAAACTGAAGTCAGCTAAGCAAAAAGAAAAAAAGCCTCAGAAGTCAGCGAAGTCTACTACTAATTTCTCTAATAGTGCTTTTCTTACCCTTGCCTTTTTACCTTCACAGTATGATTTTAAATTATTCATATGGTACAGTTTCAGTAGAGTGTACAATGCAGATTTATTTACAGCTCTACTGTTTGTTAATTTATTTTAATTTTAGAGACTGGCAGTATTTAGTCTGGGAGTTTTGGTTTTATATATTCCGTTTAATTCAAAATTCTGTATTTTAAATATAACTTTGTTTTGCCTAAAAACCTATGAGTTACAGAGACACAACTGTTAATAAATACATGCAATCACAGATCTGGAAGGGGCCAAAACGCAACTGAATCCAGTCTCTTGAAGTATGAACACCAATCCATTCACCAGCGTCCCACCGATGAGCCCCTCAACAAGTGCTGGTTTACCCAAGCCAGAATAGTAAGGGCCTTCCAGGCGTCAGCTTTCCTTAGTGATTATAAGGCTTTTACAAATGACACGCACAGTGAATCAGCACACTTGTAACCTAGAAACCACAAAGGACAACACTGTCAATATTTGCGATGACTACTGCTAGTTCAAGCATACTAGCAGCCATCAGTCTGGAGGAATAGCAGGCATCATCAATATGTCCAATTCTGAATGTGGCCAAATCTGTGGATACTTAAATCCAGATATTGAAGCCATGAACAAACCAGACAGATCTTTTTACAAACCTGGGAGAAAACCCAGACTGCAGAAAAATCTGAAATCTAAAAAAATACAATGGTGGATTAACACCCCCCCCCCCGAAATAATACAAGCAATACCTATAGTTTTAAGAAACAAACACCCTCAGTGGCTGTTTCTAGGCAACCATAACAGTATTGCCAGCAAAAAGCAGGAGAAGGGTGTGGGACCCTTTCCACAGCTGTTTTAGCCTTTGTTGTTGTTGTTCAGTCGCACAGTCGAGTCCGACTCTTCGCGACCCCATGGACCAGCTCCCGCCAGGCCTTCCGGTCTTCCGCTGTCCTCTGAAGTTTTAGCCTTTAGGGAGGGCTTATTAGGTCCAGGCCTGGTAGCAACCACTGAGCAACATGCTACATCATGACTTCCGTGACTCCCCAAGGCTTGGCTGCTTGTTACTGTTCAACAGCAGCCACTGCACAAAACCAGTGTAGTATAGTGGTTAAAGTGTCAGACTAGTATCTGGGAGAGAGAGGCTCAACTCGCCACTCTCAGTGGGTTCCTCAGGGCAGTCACACACTCTCACCTTAACTGACTTCACACAGCTATGCTGTAAAGAAAATGGAAAAGAGGAAAATGGTGTAAGGTGCTTTGTTTCCCCATTGTAGAAAAAGAAAGGGTATAACTGAAGTAAATAAATAATAAATATAGCTGAAAATGGGAGGCAGATAAAAGGTAGGTAGGTGGGTGGATAGGAAATAGGGAAAGGCGAGAGGATATGAGGTCTGCAAGGATGAAGGGGAAAGGAAGTATTCTTGGGAGAGGGATACAGGGCAAAGTGAGGTAACCCCCACAAGTCCTTGCAGGTTCCCCATCAAGCAACTGGGCCTGGCAGCTGGCATTGTGCAACTGGGCCTTAGTTTTCATGTGGTAAAGGCTGCTGGGGGGGGGGGCTGAAGACAGGGGGACTGGTAGGAAGAGGAGAAGGAAGCAGGAGAAGGAAGGAGGGTATGAGGGCTTTCAGGGAAGGGAAAGAAGAAATATTGGGGAGAGAAGAAAATTAGATGCCCCTTGCAAGTCCTTGTGGGTCCCCTGCTAACTCTCAACATAACCGAAACTGCTGGTGCTTAAATCCAGAGAGTGAGGCCATGGACAAAGAAAGGAGGTTTTTCTACAGACCTGAGGGACCCCTGAGTATGCAGAAAAATGCAAAATTGTTTTTTTTTAAATAGGGGGGTTAGTCTCCTCAAACAGACTACATAATGTAAAGAAACTGTAATCAATGATGGGAGATGAGCAGAGAGGAAGGCACGGCAGGCAAGAGAACTAACAGATCACCACTGCCACCAAGATAGATTCCCCTTCCCCCTGCAAGTTTCCCACAGGTCTCTCTGGCAGTGTGTGTGTGTGGGGGGGGAGCAGGAGCTCAAGTTGCTGCCCTATCAGCCAGGCTGTTGGAGACACTTTAGACCATCTACTCCCTCCTACCGCCAGCTGTTACAAAACCTAGGCTGGCAGATGCAGTGAAGCTGCAGGTGGGCAGGCTGGTCCACATGTAGGGTTGCCACGTCTGGGTTGGAAAATACCTGGAGACTTTGGGGGTGGATCCAGGAGAGAGTGGGGCTTGGGGAGGGGAGGGGCCTCAGCATGGTTCAATGCCATAGAGTCCACCCTTCAAAGCAGCAATTTTCTCCAGGGGAGCTGATCTCTGTCAGCTGGAGATCAGTTGCAAAAGCGGGAAATCTCCAGGCCCCACCTGGAGGCTGGCAACCCTATCTACATGCAACCAGCCCCACAAGTGGGGGGGAGGAGGATGGGATTCCCACCACAAGTGTTGTGGGTCATCTGCTTGTTATACAAAGCCAGCAATTTTAGTTCAGAACCTCAAGACAACAGGTGTACCGTATTTAAGGTACATTTTTCACATTATAGTTTGGCTGTATAGTTGTTTGCAGAAGTCGCTCTCATGAAGTGCCCTAATGCAAATGCAGTCCTGCAAGTATGATGGCAAAATCTTGTCAGACTACATCTTCATGCATAAAACATGTGGTTTATTCTAAGATTTTAGGAACTTTTTTAATTAAAAAGAACATATCCAGCTTCATGCTCCTTGCTCTTTTTACAACTTTTACTTTGAAATTCAGATCCAGAGCCTGAATTAGAAATAGCAGAGATGAAAAGCAGACTAAAGCCATAAAGCTTCCTAAATTTGCTAGGTGGTTTCACAGTTGTAACTGGATAATGATGGATAAGCACTGGAGACTAGTTTAACCTGAAGTGAACAAGGAAAGAAAAAGATAATAAACTAGTAGTTTATTGGCACATTATTTTTGTGCTGACTGGAGGGTGAAATTAGAAACAAAAAGATTGTATCTAAACAGCTGCTGACTTGCCGTTCTGCTATAAAAGACACTTCTTTACTCTAGGCCACTTTAAAATCCCACCCACAAAAAAACAGCATGAAAACATTAATTGTTGCCTCCCCACTTATCAACTTCCTTAACACTTTTGTGAATCTTAGCACTCCCCCCTCCTCTTGATAAAAAGATGTAGGAGCATTAATGAAATCAACAATGGAACCATATGATTAAAAGCAAATCGATTTTCCCTGAAGAACTGACAGGATGCCATATTACAGATATATGGCTTCTTCTCAGACTTCTGTCATGCCTACTTGTTTATGGGAAGCCATAATCCAGCACTGATAGCTCAACTATATTTTACATTTAGCACTTAATTTCCTTATTTTTATCTGCTAAAGCAATTTCTTCAAAACTACTTGGTTGTGATGTCACACAGACACTATATGTTACAATACCTAATGATGTATGGAAGAACTAGTGTTAATAGTGCTGTTCAATGTGGCACTGAATTTTACGGCAACCCCATGCCCCCCCTCCACAACAGTGTGCTAATTCCCCCTCACCATAGGATTTCTGGTTATGGACCTGATTGAACCATAGGCTATTT